AGACAACCTCTGTGATAAAATATTTATAGCTACTCAAAAATTCAAAGAAATGAACTTGGTACCACTGTTAAGAGTAACTGGATTAAAATGTGTGAGAACAATAAAAGCAGTATAGTTGTGGATGTCTGATTTGGAGGAAAAAGTGGTTGGAGTTGACCTGCAATAACAGGAGGAGTAAACAAAGAGCCTGAGGCTCAGTGTGACCCAACTCAGAGAAATAAAACAAGTGAGACATGAACTGTGGACAGCAAAAGTGAGAACTGGTCTAGATATGAGGTATCTATTTCACATGTGTATATATTGGTGAAACAGAAAGAGAAACTTTCAGGCTCTAATTCTTCTTTTAACCTCACTAGTAAGGAAACATTTTGTGAGGTCAGGCATTGTGATTGCTAAAATTCCAAGTATGTTTTCTCTGAAAAAAAATCTGACCAACTCCCAAAAAAGATGAGGTCTAGTTTCAACTGATTCAGTGCTTTGCACTTTTAGAAAAAGGGCATAAAAGTTCACTGATGATATAAACAGAAATACAACAGTGAATACACAGGTAGTACTAAGGAATATTTTAATAACTTCTAAGGCATTGGGGAGTGGCAAAATTGGCATGTTACTCTAAAAATACTTAAGCAGGGAAGTTTAAGCCATCAAAAATCAAGGTCATATATTTGGATGAAAAAAAGTGAGGAAACTGATAGTCTGTCACACCCCTGGATCAGTAATTCATGGAATACACCATACAGGTAGTCATTGTCTTACATTTGAAATTATGACAGAGACTGCAACCAGTAGTTACAACCAGGACCCAAACTGATGTCTATTGCAGCACACATGGTCATTCATTCTTATGACCAACCGCAGATATGCTGCAGCTATTTCTCCCTTCCCATCCTGCCACACCAGGTCCCCACAGGAACTGAGGTAGCTTTGCCACACCACCAGATTCCACACACACATTTCCCCGCCACCCCCAGTCATCGTTTACTCACTTACCTTTCAAAGATATCCAGAGTTCAGGAAGTTGGGGTAGGGAAGGAGAACAGTCTGCTTCATTATTGGGTCATGTTGCATAATTGAGGAGACAAAATCCTGTCTTTTTTGCTTTTCTCACTAGAGTCTTAGCTTTATGCTAGTGCAGCTTAATGCTGGGGAAGTTGTGACTGTCTAGTGTGGAAAGAAAAACCAATACAATTTCTTTTCGCTAGCACTACCACAGCTAATGCTGGGGCAGCTAACACTAGTGCTAGCAATGAGAAGAAAGCTTGCTGATCTTAGTTCTCCCAGCATTAGCTTTATGCTAGCACAGTTAACACTGGGGGAGCTAAAACTGCCTAGGATGAAAGGAAAACTGGCAGGATTTCTTCTCCTCAATTGTACCATGTGTTCCAGCAATGAACTGGCTTATCTTCCTTCCCTTGACCTCCTGAGCCTTGAAGGTCTTCAAAAGGTAAATGTGCGATTGTGATGTGGTGGGGTGGAAGAGATCATAGGACTGTGTGGACCCCAAGGGACAGGAAGTGGAGCATGGATACCTCAGGGGATGGGGGGATGCCTTAGAAGGCTGTTGCAGGTGGGTTTGTGCTGCACTAGTCCCCTCCAGGCGCTCTCTGAGGCAGTTCAATTAATGATCCTCCTGATTTCTGACCATAATGGCCATGCTCACATCTCGAGGACTACATGTACGTATAAGATTGCTATGTATGTTTTTAAAATGCTGTTAAAACTGCACCAATTTAATAATGCATTGAATAAATCAATGCAGTGATTGAAACACTAGTTTTTTTTCTTTAAATGGTGAAATTTAATATATGGAACATTAATGGAGGATAACATTTTAGAAATATCTACTGGAGTGTTCTGATACTTCAGCAGGAATTAAGATGACTTACTGTCATATTTCAAATTTCTTTTTAGTTGTACATATTTTAAAGGCAGTTTCCAATACAAGTTAAAAAACAAAACTAAATTAAAATACTAGAGGACAGCAGATCAACAATAGTTCAACACTCAAAAAAAAATCAGGATAACAACATAAAAGACAAGGCCTTTAGGAAGAAGCAGAAAGTTAGCAGAATGGAAATTGATATCCCCAGAAAAATAGATGTAATTTTTCTGCTGGTTTCAGAAAATGTATTTCCTTCTACTGCTACGTGGTTCTCAGCTACTGGGGCATGAAAAAAAAATCTTATAGAACTTAATTAAGGTTCTTAAATGTCCTGATCTTAAATTAATTCCTCCTAAGAAAAGACTAGAAATCAATGTTTTAATAGGATTATCATATATGCTAGCCTCAGCATACACGGTATGCAAGGCTACTCTTCAAAATCAGCCCTACAAAGAAAGCCTTACATAATTAAATAATCAAACCTATTATAACGAATGCATACGTTACCATGGCAAGATCTTATGTTTCCAAGAAGAGAGGCATTAGACAGCTGAGCAAACATAAACCTGGCCAACTTAGCATCCAGGATCATAGTTGATGCTATAACACTGAAGACAAGTTGAATTCTTATTTCTAGGTCAGCAATGCTACTGGAGAAGAATCCCTAATTTATCTGGATTATATTTTGATTTTCCAGCCTTTATTCAGACTATTAATATTCCCAGTGAAGAAAAACTAAACAGTAAAACAGCTATAGAGCATTGCAGGCCAAAACAACTAGACACAGTTTTTTTTTATTTTGTATCATCATTTGGCTGAACACCTGATTATATTACCTTGTTGTTTGAATGTACACTGAGAGCTTATGCACTGGAGACAAATTTCTTGTGTCCAATCACAGTTGGTCTATAAAATATTCTATTTTATTCTAAAAAGGGTATCAGTTATGCTTTGTTAAAGATTATGGGAAGAAGTTTTTAAATTTAGCTGCTTCAGATAAATCATTTTGTATGATCTGGATTTAATAATTAAAAACCAATTCTGAGCTGTTGTTAAAAAGTGTTCATTCTAGCTAAAGAAAAGGGGAGAAATTTCTTTTGAAAAGAGTCATGTTGAAGAATATTTAATATCAAGAGTTTCATGTAAAATAGGTGGATATATTGCTGGAACACTTTAAATGTTCACATATTTCCAAGGGTAGAAAACAGAAAACAAAACTCCTTCAACTGCAGTAGAAGAAACTGCATTACTGCATTTATCAGCTGCACTGAATTTAATAGAGGGGAATGTTAATACAGCCTGTCTTCTATGAATCCCACAGCAATGGGGGAATAACATTCTCCCCCCACACATTGGAATATTGTATAGAGTACTGGCAACTGTACTTTAGGGTGGAATTGTACAAAATGAAAAAAAAAACCCACAAAAAATGGCATCCATTTTGTAATTATGGCTGGTTAGCTTAGAATTAACAAGGCAAGGGTGAGACATGATAGAGGTATCATGAATGGCACAGATAAAATGGTGAAAAGGTAAAGTTAGAACTAGATGAGTTTAATCAACTGAAATTAAATGCACGTAGATTCACTCAGACTTACTTAAACCTATAGAAACTATGCCAGCAGCTGTGATAATGGCAGCCAACTTGGATGGCTTTAGACAGGGTCTCAACAAACTCATGGAAATATCATAACTAATATTTATGGTTGAGCCCTGCCTTCTGAATCATAGCATGCCTTAAATACTGGCTGCTGGGAAAGAGACTAATAATACCTGCCAGTCCAGGCTTGTGAGCTTCATAATGCATCTAATTTGCAAATACATGCAAATACTCTAAAGATAACTATTGGTGGAACAGCTCTGGGGACTTGTGGACCCCGCTGCCCCCAAAGCCACACTTACCAATTTTAGATTAATAATTACAGTAAAGATAAATCTCCATTTTGAGTATTTGTATATGATATCTTTAGTTAACTGAACTGTGTGGAATTACAAATATAATGGTTTTTATATATTTCCTGTTGCAATCAGATTGATCCAAAAACTGTGGTGTATTATTTCTGGTATGTTTATTTTTTTCTCACACTAAATTGAAGCTATATGTAAAACTAAGTCACAAAATTGATAAAGCATGTTATTAGAAGTGATCTTTAAACCCTATAAGACAAAAAAGCCCACAATCAACCCTTATAATATTATCAATGTAATATATAAACTGTAAAGACTGACTGAAATAGGGAACCAGAGACCTCCATTTTGCCTAAACAATGGAAAAATGTTTTAACCTTAATATCAAAACATAATTGGATCTTAGATTACTGCTTATACAACTAAAACAAGAGTTTGGACTTGTTGGATCCCATTGCATTTGTACAGAGTAAAGTTAAGTAGGTTACTGGATTATTGAGGATGAAAGCATAATAATGTTTCATTTAAACATGCTGTTGCAATGTCCCAAATTTGCTATGTTCTATGAAGTTGTTATATTTATGAATTTGATTTGAAACAAGTATTTTTGATGCATACATTCTTTGGAACTACATGCTGCACAGACATTGACAACTGGCCATGAAAATGGATTTTTTGTACTCTTCTCTAAAGCGTGAATATTAGTCCTTCAACAATGGAGATATTTACACAGTGGATGGAAGAGCTGATATTATTTGCAACTTATGAACAAAAGGCCAATAGATGTACATTATGCATGGATAATTACATTAAAATATATTTATTTTCTCTGAAGTTATTCTATAAAAACTTCATGTATATACATGTATATATATTCATGATAAGCTCTTCTATATGAATTTTATGTTGTAACTGCATCTTATTTCCTCTTTTCCTTTTTTTGACTCTTTTTAATGTTTCATTTCCCCCCTCTTTATTCTGCTTTATTAAATAAATGAAGCAAAATAAATTTCATTGAAATTCTATTCATTCAAAACTATTTAAGATTTACCTTAATAAAGGTACAATATTTTTACCTAATAGTATTTTTGTGTCTTTACATACTTCCTGTCTTCAACATGTAACATACATTTTTACTAGACTTTGCTTTACACAATGTTAAAGATTTACAAAACTGGGGTAAATATGCTTTTAAAATAAGAATACGTACAAATATCCAAAGGGACAGTACTTGTCACATACTATGGGTTTGCATTTCTTAGGCCGTGGGTGGCACTGACAGATCTTACAGTTATGGACATCAGTTTGGAAACCAAAGTCACAGTCCAAGGAACAATCTGACATGAGATCGGTACACCGTTCCTCCCCTGTGGAAGAACACAGAAAGTTTAGTAAAAAGAGACAATGATTATTTGTCTCAACAATTAAAGGCGTATGGATACAGAGTTCTCATTTTCCCCAGTCACCACCTACAATGGTATGATTTATACCATATTGTCTGATTATCTAAATTCCAGATTTTAAATTTTCTCAAAGCTTATAATATTAATATATACTATTCAGTATCAACATAACATTTTCATGAAATGATGCATCCATTTTAAATACATTTATGGACAAGGCAGTTATGCTAATAAAATACATTAATGGATTTTATTTTCATATTGCCCTGCCCTTCTGCTTTTTCTTGATCATTTTTCTTTCCATTAGGACAGCTAAGCAATAAAAGGAAAGAAAATTCTTAGTATTTTGATACTAATGACTAGAAATTAACAGTAATTGGAAAGATAACCACTACAACATTTTAAGGTAGCTCTATGCTTTACCTAGTACTGTCTAAGAAGTCAAAGATTTTCAGTGTCTCATCTTTAAGGAGCTGAAAACTGCAAGTTATAGCCCTTGTATGCAAAGTTATTTTAAAAAACAGAAATGTCAATAATATAAACAATAATGTTTTTATTATAGTTTAAATTTTCCTTGTGACAGCACGGTTAAAGAAATTTTATGTTTATGCAGAACAAAAGAGCAAAATAGCCATATTCCTCAATGTTATAAAAAGATAAACAATAATCTTAAATTATGAGAATAATTTATGCATTGAGGACAGGGAAAAAGGGGCTGGAAGCTGAGAACCTAAAGAACAGAATTTTGAAACCGACTGGAAGCTCATATATGGGGCATTAGATACGCAGTATAGAACTTTTTCTTCCTTGCAAAACTCAAAATGGACTAACTGATAGTAAAATGCAGTAGAATTGCATTAATAGTAATCAGTATTCCTTCAAACCTGGGGCCTGAAAAGTGACAATCTTTCAAAAGCTCTCTTGGGTTTGAAAAGTGTCAGCTATAATTACATGTTAAAGTCTTCCACAATAATGTTAGCTATTATGATAGTATTGCTTTTTGGATTTTTTTCTTCAAATGATCCAATGTGTTTTATAGCTTTTGTTCCAATATGTAAAAAGTGCTACGACAAATCATCTATAATTATTTTTAACTTCTTCAGGTATTTAACAAGAAAATCTATGCTATAAACAGCTTGATTAGTCTATGTAACAGGGATGAGAAAATGTTTTGGACAGTAGACACAATCATGCTGCTATTGATGCAAAATGAAAAACAGGATTTTAAAAAATACTTAAATAATCATGTTATATAATCCTTACAGAATTTGAGTTTCCAAATTTTTTAATAGCAGTTACTTAATAGGTAGTAATAATAGTTTTTTATCAATATGCCATTGGTGCAGTAGCTGAACTGTTTTGCATCAACACATCAACACTTTAAAAAACAATCTATATTTTAATATAGGATTTAACAAAGAGGCACTCCATCTATCGATGATAAGATGTTCTGATCTGATTGTTGCCCTACCGAAACATGGCAAAATGGATATTTGGAAATGTTTTATTTTACAAAATGAAAAACAGGATTTTCCATTAAGAAAACAATATTGTGCATGAGCCAACTGAATTTTGAGGAAAAACACCAATATGAAATTTAAGAATATTTTTTTCAAACAAGGTAATTGAACATAGTATTTGTACTTACTAGTTTTACACTGACAAATGCGACAACCATTTTGATCTACTTTGAAGTCATAAATACAGTCTGTCACTTTTAGTGTACAGTTCACCAGAGGAGGACATGTAGGTGGACCTATTGTGATGTAGGTTGGCTCTAATGAAAAAGGGAACATATGGTTGTAAATTACAAATCTTTGATATAGTGTATCATATTAAATTCTAAAAGTAATTAGAGGAAATGTGGGAGGAAGGTTAAGAAATGTGAAATATAAACAAGCAAAAAACAAACAAATAAGGCTTTGATATAAAGACTACTCCTTTAAAGGCCTGAAACCATAATTCAATTTCAGATGTAGTTATCATAGGAGTTCTTTAAAACCATTGCTAATAATAGAGACACAGTTTTACGACTAGAGCTCTTTGCCAACAACGGCTGGGTTAACCATTTATGACTGTTCCTGTCAAAATTGGACTCGTGAAATAGCTTAAGAGAAGCTGTCTTGGAAATTGGCTCAGAAGCTGCAACTAAAGCATTGGCAAGGTTGCTAATAAGGTTAAAATGCTAGGAACATACTACACCTGTAGAACTGGCCTAGTGGCCAGCCTACTTCCAAATCAATGTACATGTTCATGTTCATTAATAAAAGCCCAACAGAGTTTAGGATTGAGACAACTAAGAAATGCCTTTTACATAAGCATTAGTGTGAACATACTAATTTGGGTAAACTTGGTTTTAATTTGTTGTAAACTTTTAAGCTGCTACTATTGGTAGCTATATAAAGCTGTACTTTTTGAAACTTGAGTTACCCTTCACTAGAATAATTTGTTCCTATCCTGGCCCTTCAGATCTTCTGACCATGCACCCATTAACCAGTGTAATTATGTCTCTCCACTGTGCTGCCAATCATCTTTTCCTCTTATCCTTTCTAGAATTATGGACTCTTCAACAGAGCTGCATCTTTACACAATGTGCCCATAGTATGATAACTGTAAATGGTCATTTATGCCCCAAGTGAGAATTCTGATTGATTTGTTCTATAATCCATTTGTTTGTTTTCTTAGCTACCCATTGTATTATCAGGAATCTTCTCCAATACCACAGTTCAAAAGCTTCAATACTCTGTTCTGTTTCTTTAAAGTTAATCTTTTCTTCCAATGGTGTCATAGGTTGGTAAACTAATCAAATATTTACAAAACCTTTAGGTCAAATTAAGTTTTTAGGTAGCAAATAATTCTGATCTTTCAAACTGTTTCATATAAGAAATTAAACCTCTATCTGCTGCAAGTACTTCTAAGCAAAATAAACCTATACCTTATAACATACATTTACCATATGCAAAAATATGTAAAATATTTTATTTTGCTACAAGATACAATTGTTCTGATTTTAAAATATGAGCGTTTATGCTGACAAGTAGTAGTAGAATAGAAGAATATTTTCTAGATTCAACTGGTAATTTAGGATTATTTTTAATACTGTATTCTTACTGAACTAACTTAATAAACATATTATAAATTACTCATATTTTATGAACCAACCATACACTAACTTGTACTGCAGAAACTTCTGCATAAAAAAGTGGACTATTTCTGTAAGGGTAAATTTTAAATCAAGATGTGGGAGTAAATGAGCAAGTATGCTAATATCTAGTAGCTAAATTCTGAAAAGGAATGCAGTGTATATAAAATACATAAGACAAAATTTAAATTTAGGAAATAAATGAATTGTATCAGTTGTTAATATGGCAGGTGTACATAAATGGAAATATCAAATATTTCTATGATGACAATTCTTAATATTACTGATCAGATTAAAAAATGAAGAGAAAAGTCAGGAAATATTATAGAGGTATAAACATGCATCAAATATTGTAGGAGGGCTTGCATTATATAATGGAAAAATATCTAAAACCAACAATGGTGTCTATTCTCAATATATGTGGTAGATAATGTGTAAACCCTAATCATATCACAGTGCTCAGTAAACAACTTTGGTAGAACCTTTGAATTGTGAACAACATTAAACAATATTATAACAAGCTAACATGATGCTATTAAAACATATTATTGATGTCCATGAAAGGCTGTAACTGGTAAACCAACCTGAATGTATCTTTTCTTTTATGTACACTGAGAGCATTTGCACCAAGACAAATTCCTTGTGTATCCAATCATACTTGGCCAATAAAGAATTCTATTCTATTCTATTCTATTCTATTCTATTCTATTCTATTCTAT